AAAGATTTGACAGAGTCGAGGATTTAATTTGTAAGAAAGTATCTTAGGGGAATTCTTTTCTGAGTGATTATGGGGTTTTAACTTTCCTCAATTGATAGTAAAATTGAATTAGCATCTAGGACATCGGATTTTGCATTGGTCTTGGAGTCGTGATTATTAAATTTTTATGTTATAATTCTAGCGTTATGAAATAAAAGAGAGCAAGGCATTTGTGTGCACAGAATTGAAATTATATATTAGGTGAATTTTGATGTCATACGTATATAAATCTTGTGGATTTGAAAAAGGATTGAAATGATGATTTATTAGAAGAAATCTAAAGTGTTATGGAAGCTTTTATGGATGTTTATTTAGTAAGACACTATAGGAGTTTTCTGGAACAAAAAAATTATTATATCACACATGATTCGAAGTTAGAGTGAAATGATGGTTTTGTTTTTTTTTTTCATATTGAGGAATTACCCGTACAGTGGAAGACTCGGAAAATTTTTACTAATTTTAAGAGTAAGTCTCTCTTGTTAAATAGACGTGAATATGAGACATAAAAATAGTGCTTAGAATTTTGAAGGATTATGATATGATCGTTGCTTGTTATCTTAGTAAGGTTAACAAGGTTGCAAATTCTTTGAGTAGGAAGTTTTTGTGTAGTTTACCATATTTGGTTACTAAGAGGAGTTGTTTTGAGGGGATTAGATAAATATGAAAGTTAGATTATGAGCATGTTTGAGTAAACTCTTAACTGCTTGTAAGTGTAGCTTAGTCAATAAAGAACATTGGAACTACACATGTAGAATAATGATTTGCTCGAGGAAGGAAGCTAGTTGGAGACATGATTTAAAATGGTGCTTATTGAGAATTATGGTAATAATTCAGTCAAGGATGGTGAATTTGGTTGTCATTAATAGGTTGATTAAGTTTGCTGATTTTCTTCACATCAATATTGGTATGTCAATAGATAGACTGGCAGAGTAATATGATAAGGAAATAGGAAGGATTATTGTATCGATCACTTAGTTTATCTTGTGATTTTAAGGAATGAATGAAAAAGGTTTAGTGAAATTGAGGTTTGAGGTTTGAGGTTTAAAATTATGATGAATTATTTCTTTGAATAGTGGTAAATGATTTTGGTTGATTTATGACTTATCAAAGTTTAGAAATTGTGATCATTAATTGGAGTGGGATTAATTTAAGTTGTTATGCAAAGATCAATTTCTGGTACCCATAAAGTCTTATGATTGATTGATGAGTTGTTCATGAAAAGCTAGAAAACCATGAGACTGCCTTTACTTTAGGAGGATGATTGAAGAGGAAATTATAAAGAAGGCATGGCATAACTCTTGTGAAGTTGTAGTAAAGTACCCATAACAAGAAGGGAAACAACGTAAAAGTTGGATGAGGAATGAGGAAGTGAAAAAGAAATATCGAGAGTTGTTCATAGACAGGTTGAGAGCTTGTGTTTTAGATTTGAAAGGTGCTTGGGATGAATATTTGCCCTTAGTTGAGTTTGCCTACAATAATAGTTATCGGGCAAGTATCCAGATGATGCCTTATAAGGCTTTATATGGTAGGAAATGTATGTCCCCAATATGTTGGGATTCAAGGAAAACTTAATCCTCAGTTCATTGGTTCTTTTGAGATTTTAGAGAGAGTTGGAAAGGTAGTCGACATATTAGCACTACCACCTAATTTGCCAGAAGCTCATAATGTTTTCCATGCCTCCATGTTAAGGAAATATGTTTCGGACCCTAGCCATATAATTGAGCATTCTCCACTTCAACTTAAAGAGGATTTGTCTTATGAGGAGCGTCCGGTTCATATTGTGGATAGAAAGGAATAGGTGCTAAGAAGATGAATAATTCCTTATGTTAAGATTCAATGGAGTAATTATATTAAGATTCAATGGAGTAATTATATTGAACGTGAAGCCACATGGGAGTTAGAGAAGGATGCGAGGAAGAAGTACCCATACGTATTTGTCGATGCAAGTACGAGTTTAGGGACTAAACTCTTTTAAGGGGGAGAGGATGTAATACCCAAGGATTTCTTACTTAAGATTTAAATAAATTATTTAAGCTCTTAGAGGGTGTATATGTGATAAAATTAAATTTGGGGTTGAAATTATAATGATGTAAGGAACTCAGGGACTAGAACCTTATAATTAAGCTTAGGGACCAATTAACAATATTTCCTTTT